AGCACGCCAGCCGGTCGTAGGCAGGCAGACGGTCTTGCGACGAAGCAACGCTGCGCCGAGTCGGAGTGCCTGCTGTCGGAGCGGGATTCGCGGCTGTTGTCGCTCTTCTCGGGTGTTTGTGGATCCAGCGTTCTTGTTCGTCGTGGTCTGTTTTAAGTACATTTTTTTTTTTCTTGCTGCTTGAAGTCGGCACGCGCGAGATGAACACATAGAAAAATAAACGTTCAGTCAGTCAGAGTTTTGAGAGGAAGGAAACCAAAGGAAATAACCGTTCTAAGTCGGCCCTGCCCTACTGCGCACGCGCAGTAGTTGCTTCGTTTACCACACGATAGATGGCGCTTGGCTCTCAGCATTATCAAATTTGGCAATTTTCGCCACACATCTCTAATTATGCTACAAAATGTGGATCTGAATATTATTTAACAAAACTTTTAGGAAACATTCGCCGGCTATTTATTGTTTACGATCGCGGTGCTGGTGAGGTAGGCTCTTACCCAATAGGCGACCTGGATTCGGCTGACGTGCTCCATTTCCGCGCATGCATCGTAGTGAACAGGCGAAGGAAGGAAGGCGCAAAAGAGTCCAGTTTTCTTTTAAAAGTTCTATAGCAAATAATTTTTTTGGCTCCCTAGTTTTGTGTTTTTGTGTTTCTTTTCACACCTTTTACGACGTGCGGTGGATGAAATTCGATTTTAAAATCATTTCATGGTCCCTTTAATAGAAAATACCCAGTTTTGTCTCGCTTTCTGCCACCATTCACTTAATCTTTGCTTGGTAATCTCTACAGTCTTGAAATCCACTCTCCCTTCGCCGTCTCTAAAACCCAATGACTTTATTAAATCTATGTTGTCTTCGGTAGGCATAGGGTGAAGCCCTTTACAGTAGAGTATCAAGTGCTCAGCCGTCTCGTCCTCCAGTGCACATTGTATCCACTTCCTGGTACTTCGCAACGAGGGGACACACTGGCGCCATCTATTGGGTAACAGTGTAAACTTGGCGGTCCGGCATCTTTTCTATTTCTCTCGCGCATTATCCTTTCTGTCTTGGCTCGAAAAACTTTTTTCGACGTTATAAACGAGCCTTTCTCATAGGTATTACGCACGTTTGACCTCGGAAATCCCCCAAAACCTTCGCTCTTGTGAAATGTAGTTCCAGGGTCACCGCATAGATGGCGCCAGCGAGCCAGTGTGTTCTTGCGTCCTGAGAAATTTTAAGGGGTTTCAACAATTCTCGTCTCTCTCGGTCGTACTCGGTAGCAAGAGTGTGAACGGGCCTTTAACATCCATGTTTCATCGGAACGCTCTTCCATCGCTCAAGCGTAGAGTACTTGTTTCCACCGCCTCAAAACGTGGCGCTGAAATCGCCAGTCTGGACGATGATGAACGGGTGCTGTACCAGCTGCACAGTGCTCGGCAATCTGCCAGCGGTGCTACAACATTCATTCAGGTTCATCGCCGAACGTGCCAGGCTCAAGTAGTGTTATGGCAACAGCGTGCTCGATGGGCACGATTGAGTTATAAGTAGGGTGCAGGGATGGGCAAACTTCATGCAAATATGTATCGAAATGCAAATACAAAATACTTCGTCGAAATGTATTTAATTACAAATCTAATTGCATTTCCAAGAAAGCATTTAAGTACAAGATACAAATACAACCAAATGTATTTGGTCTCCTCCAAATACTTTTCTAAATACATTCCTCAAAATTTGCGTCAGCGACTTCAGGGCACCTGCAACGGGTTTCTGGGTTTCTCGTTTTAATTTTGCATTGCACACTCGGGAGTTAGTGTGCGAGGCTCTAGTAACGTAATAGAAATATAATCACAAAAAAAAATTTAATCAGCTTGGACGTAGTAGGTGAAAAAAGTACAGAGCTTCAAGCAGCTTTTTTTGTCGATTACATTTTGGTATAGACCAACAAAGAACCGAGACGACCAAGACGCGCAGCACTAGCTAGAGAATTTTTATTGTTGCAACTCGCACCAGTTACAAAAATCTGACGACCAGCGCATTTAGAATGTTCCAGGCAAAAAATATGGATGGAAATCAGGCGGAAAGCATCACAAGTTGTCACAGGCACTTATTTAGCCAGCCTGCCTGTGAACGTCGATTTCGTCACTATTCTTGCCCTGGACTAGCACCGTAATCGCAAAGTCATCAAACGCTTGTGCTTGATTGAGAGACACTGCACTCGGTGCAGGACGTAGTTTTCTTTCTGCTCTGGACAGTGAGAATAAATTTGAGGGATGTATTTTCGCCCACAAAATTGTATTTAATTACAATTGTATTTGAAATACCCACGTTTTAGTATTTAAATACACACGTCAAATACATTACCCAATTTGTAATTAAATACAAATGCAAAATACACAAAGTATTTAAAATACGTATTTCAAATACTTGTATTTGAAATACTGCCCATCCCTAAGCGTGGAACTTATGCTCGACACTGCATCAGGGTGTTTGGCATAGTAAACTTTTGGCATAGTTTTGTTTTCGTTCCCGGGGATCGACAAGTAGGTGTTTTCTTTCCTTGCTTGATTCTGTCCTTAATTCGAGCAGAGTGCGGATTTCGATAGTCACGAAGTGCTTTGGTCCTTCTTATAAAAGGTGGATGTTTTATACGAATGCCCCGAAAGATTGCAACATGTCTGTTGTTTCTAAGCTCATCTCCAGAGGAGCGCAGGTGGAACTCGCGTAGATTCACGAACGGATTGTCTCCAGATATGATTTTTAAACCCTGATTCACGTGGTGCGATTCTCATTGCAATTTTTATTTTCGACGTTGCCACGTTGCTTGGTCGCGCGGGTGGCTCGGGCTGCAAAACAGGTGTTCGCTCACCACTGATATTTTTGTGCAACAGCGGCGGGGAAAATAATGTACTTGTTAAAAAAATAACTGCCGGGGTGACAGAGATTTCCCTCTGGTGGGGAAATACAACCACTAAAATTGCGGCCTTTTTTTTTTTTTTTTTTTTTTTGGGGGGGGGGGGGGGGGGGGGGGGGGGGGCAAGCTATTGCCATTTCGGCTGGCAACGCCCCTAGTGGCAGACGTAAAATCTAAAAACTCCCTCCCTCTTCGCGTTTTTGTCTTCTGCGTTTGCTCGTTTGCTTCAGTACTTCTTTCGCTCGAACCTCTTGAGCGAGTTACGATTAGTGGTCGGGTGAAACTCCGGAGGTTCGGTTTCAGACTTTTTCGGAAGATTCCGAAACTTTTTTAGACGAAATGTCACTATCTAGCCAATAAGGCGTTGTTACTTTTAGTTTTCTGGGCGTTTTGAGTGATACAGACGTAAATTCGAACAGTTTTTGACGTAGAACTACGTCTTTGACCGCGCTTGGAAAGGGGTGCAAAGTTCGGAAGTCGATGTTACGAAAACTTGGCCACGGAGGTGACATCACACGTGCGGTGCCTGCTGCCGAGAATCACGCAGCGCGCACGCGCGTCCTTTGTTATCTCCTGGCTTGCACGCACTTCAACCTACTTCAACGCCACGCGCTTCTGTCTGATCGAAACGGCGATAGACGCCGCTCCTGCAGCCGAGATTTTGTATCGTTTATAAGCAGTTTGACACCGGCTTTACGCAACTCTAAAGCATGGAACATATGAGCGGTGAAAGTGGGCGCCGAGTGGCACTCGCCGCTTATAGAGTAACTCTATAGGCCCTGCCTGCGGAGCATATACAGTGACTCTAGCCGTTTGGCATGCCACGTGGTGGGGTGCAGTGCATAACTCGCTCTAAACAGCTGTCTTTGTACATGAAGGCAAGCTTTGTACAGAGCACTTACATCGCATAACTTTATAACTTTGCGGCTCCCGTGAGGTTGAAATCTTTTCGACAGATTCGGTGAAGCAAGAACTTTCCTCCGAGGTTCACTTTCTGTTCTAGAGGGAACACTGAAAGGCTCTCGCCAACCGCGCGGACTTTTCCACAGGCGTAGTAGCCTGTTAGCTGCGGCGTAGCAACAGCTTGGGACGGGTCCATATCACAAGAGCGAATGACATTTTAGCGAACGGCGACATTTGAGCGAATGGTCGTTTTAGCGAATAACGGGGGCGCGCGTTAACCCATCCGTCGCGCTGCGCTTTACGCCGCTTCGCGGCGACAGTCTGCGGCAACTCATTACAAAAATATGAACTCAAGCGCGAGACACATAGACGGCAGAATCGTCCGATCCGACGTCCGATCCGACAGTACGAACGCCGCTCCGAATCGCCGCACGCGACAGTTTGAGACACACGCTTCCGAACTTGCATGCGACACGACTATCCGTTCGGCTCCGCCCAGGAGATCCAAGCACTCCAGCGGAGGTCCGCGTTCACAGATCTCTGGTTCTAGATTGACGGTTTCGCTCACACGAGCGAAGTTAGAAGCTCGTTCTCGTTAGCGCGTGCATTCTTTGCCGAAGCCGTATTTCTCGAATGGGTCAGCGGGATCCACGCTTCCGGCTTCCTTCCCCCCGCCGTTCGCTTCGTCCCGCCAGACTCAGTGCGTCATCATGACGTTCGCGCTAGCTGTGTTGTCATTGGCTGGACGCATCCGACAATCCGTCCGCCGTGCGAAACTATCTGGCGCGTTGGACGCACGTCGGATCGCCGATCCGGCGTCTGAAGCGACCAAATTTTTCGGATCAGCCAGTCGCATTGCCGGATCGGACGTCGGATCGGATGGTTTTTTCGCGCATGTGTCTCGCGCTTCACTTGGCCCACCCGAAAACGCCGCTTCGCGGCGTGGGACTATTCGCTAAAGTGTCGTTCGATGAAACGTGGGCGTTCGCTAAAACGGCATTCGATCAAGTGAGTGCCTCCCGCTTGGGGACAGAGGTCTCGATCGTAAGTCCAAAACCGAACTGGATGGCATGTGACGAGGCGCGGCGGCTTTTGAACGGACGCAGCACCGGCTGCAAAGGTCTCTGGCGGGCAATACCATGCGACACGCTTAGCCACCGCTTACGTCACCACTTCGTTTCATTTTATCTTTCTTTCGATTGTATTAATGAGGGGGTTAGCGCGAACGCAGACCCCCACTACCAAAAATTGCATGCCCCATCTGCCCCAGTTTGGGATAGTGGCAGGCGTCAGCACGACCGAGGTGCAATGGCCGCGCCTCTTCCTGGAGACACCCCCTAATTGATCAGGGTAGTCCCAGCACCAGGTAAGTATGCCTTTATAACCTTCGAAAAAATTAACGCTACATAGACCTGCTACCATATCTACCCGGTGACTGAGTGGACTTGTATGGCGTTGCTGTTTTAATTTGAAGTTTTATTAGGTTTAATATAAAACAAGGTAAACAAACGGCCATATTAGTTTCATCCCTTATATGAAACTTTTGATATTTAATTATGAACTTTATTTTATTTATGTTTTCCGTTTATAATATCATTTAAAATTCCACGAGCGCCGGCTTACGTGGCGCCATCTATGAAAAGACGATGGCACTATTGTGAACGTTGCCAACACTGCTGGCGGTGGCCGGTGGGCCATGGCGGGATTGTTACGCCGTCATACTTACAAAACCCCAAACCAAAGGGGAAAAATAATAAAAAAGAACAACGCAACGACGTCTGTGTTTGAGACGTCGTTGTGAAGTCTTCTTTTTCTTTCTCTTTTTAGTATGGCCGTTCAGCGTTTTGGTTTTGAAACCCTTCTATTTTGTGCAGATGATGGCAAATGTTATCCCGTTTCTGTTCCCTACCAAGAAAAAAAAAGTAATAGTCGCAAATCTAGGTGGATCTAAGGAACCAATTACTTAAACGTGAAATTATGTACTGGAAGTGCGCATCCAGTTAAAACAAGTTCGTTCAAGCATAGCGTAGGGTTTCCTTGTTTTGCTTGCGCATGGCAAGCCTTGTCACCTACGAACTGGAAGAGGCCATCACTACCCTGTGTCAAAAATGATTGATCACCGAGGAACATTCGATTCATCGGTATCTTATATAAGTTTTAATGAAATAAATGTCAGAGCGCAAACGATGTGGTGTATATTAAACATGAATAACAAAAAAACGAGACTGTAGGTACGATAGACACTTTTTAAAGTCTAAAGTTATAACTTCCCCGTGTAGACCGGTGCCTGCACACAAAAAGAGATGTGGAGCTTCCTATTTGGGGGGGCACAGTGCCACTCTGCAAAATTTATGTCAGAAGTGGGATTCGAACCCACGCCCGGAAGACCGGACTGCGACCTGAACGCAGCGCCTTGGACCGCTCGGCCATCCTGACGACGGAATGCGACATTTTCAAACGGGGTTTCCAACTTATCATTCTACCAACTGATAGTTTCAGTGGTAATCAAAATGGCTAACAATGATCGCCACTGACTTTTGAGTACATTGGTGTTTTCTTATGTTTCCGGTGCACTTCTGTGGGTGTGAAGGGAAAACTGTAAGCACCAGAAACGGACGAGGTCTCCAGCGACGAACCCAAGAAGCCCAAGAACGGCAGCGAGCACAGGGTTGGATTGGATTGACTCAGCTCTGATCGTGGCTATCGAGCAATTAAGACTGCGTTGTTAACCTAAAAATACTTAAACAGGTCTGCTCAATTTAAAATGTTTTCATGGCATTAAAATGCTATCGTAATAAAATAAAAAAACACTAATCGTGAAGATTGCATTTGGTTTCGCGGGTTTTTGTCTTGTTATTGTGTTTTATGTTCCGAACCTGTCCGTCCGAACGTGATAAATATGGCGGCGGCCGTCCTTCGACGAGAAGGATCGTAGCGTTTGCGCAGGTTGGCGAATCGAAAACGATAGATCGGGCAGTTCAATTCGTTACAGTCGCTTACTATCGTTGACGTTAAGCGAAACCCCCCTTTTTTTCATGAGACATCAATACTCTAAATATTGACCACACCTTTTCCGGTGATCTAGCAATAACAAACTGTTCCTCGCTCTTACGACTGAGAACGACATTTGACGTCGGAAAATGGTGAGTAAAACGTTCCCGTATGTTCCATTTCGCAGCTTGTCACAGTTCGTTTCGTGAGAGTTGCAATACTACCTTTTCCTCAAATATTCATCCATTAGATTGTTCACAAAAGTGTTTGGTGGTCTGCCAAACGATTTTTTTACGCCTGGGTCGTACTGCGTTCGTCAACACAAGTGAACGCACACTTACATTTACAAAACATCACGTAATATTGAGGTGCAAACGAAAATATAACGAGGAATAATCGCAACGACAGGATAAGCTTGGATAGGCTGTCAGTCGAGATTAGGAAAGAAAAGTTTTCTTGGTCTTGGAGCTGTTGCAGTGTGATGTTGACAGCACACAAAATAAACCACGGAACAGACGTTTCTGTCATACTTAATATACGAGTGTAGTCATAAATGTAACCGCCTTCCCCGCAAAATTTCCGCTAGTAATCACATAGTCATTTTTGGATGCCGCAATAAAAACGCCACCTCACTCTAATGTTTTTTTGTTGTTCTTTTTTTTCCACTAAACCAGGCGGAGAGGAAAGCAGTGAACAAGTACTACCCACCGGAGTGGACGCCTGGCCATGGATCCATCAACAAATTCCGAAACTCTCACCCCTTGCGGGACAGGGCTCGGAAACTCCACCTGGGCATTCTTGTCATCAGGTAGGTGACCGAAGTCCCTGAAAGATGCTCGACTCCAGTTTGATTTGCGCTTTCTCGATTTTTTGGCGTTACAAAGTTTGATTGTGTATTAGCTACACTGTTCAATGGGTTTCATTGTCTTTAGTAGTATCGCTCTGAAACTGAACCGGAATGGTGGGCTATACATGCCTTGCAAGTGACGTCACGCTAGGGAAGGACGGGGCCCCGCACTATACTGGTAGTTGACTTGACACCGCGCGGATGCGCTTACCAAGGCGTATGATGCCGCTAACTGCCCGTACATGCGCTGACGTGCATCATATTCAACAAAGGTACCTAGTTGTGTTACATGTGAACTTGGAAAAACGCGCCGAGCTTACGATGATGACGTTTAGCCAGTACGAGCGGAAGTTTTCGGCATTGGTTGCGATTGCGCTACGAGCAGAAAGTTTCGATATGCCGCCGACGAAGGTTTAAAGCAAAAAACTGTCGCGTCGCAAAAAAAAATAGAAAATAAATAAATAAATGAATAAAAAAGCTTAATTGCGCGTTTGAAAATTTGACGAGCGCTCTGGAGTCGCTTGTAGAAAAATGTTTACGATTTTGCGAAATACAACGCAAGGTTACCGTCATAATCTAAACGCTGAGACAAGGGTAAATCAAATAATGGACAAGACGACTCTCATTGTCTCGGAGTTTATATTATGATGTTTCCTAACCGGCTCGCCTGCATACTTTCGCGGATGGCAGAAAACCGATGCCGCGGCGGCGGCGTCTCGGCGAGTTGCACACGCGGGGGCCGCTGCCGACCGATCGCACGTCTGGCCGGGCTCGCGGCACGACAATCGCCCGTACTTAGCCGAAAGCCCCGAAGATGCGCTCGAAGCGTGGAAACGGCATTATGTAACGAAAGGCAAAGGCAATCTACACAATGAACGGGCAAAAACCGATGCAAGGCGTGCGCGAACGTAAACAACGGTAGAAAAGTGCCGTCGCTCAGCGCTAGCTTTGAAATGCGTCCCTCAAACTCGGTAATCCGCGGCCGAATCCCTTTTCTGCCGCTCGTAGTTTCTCTAACTTGACGGCTACTCTGTCTCACGGGGCATGCCGACGAAACGATCGTACGATTGTCGGGATATGGGGTAATTGCCACAGCCGAGCGCGGCACAGTTTACCATTGCTGTCGCTGCGAGTCAACCACGAGCATGGTGGATACCGATGTTCGACGTCATCATGTGACGTAGGCGCAAGGCATGTATAGACTGCCTCACCTCACTATAGACCGCAGCAGACGTCATGAACCATCGGAGCCAGTCTAGTGCTGTATGAGTGTCGCATGATTTTTGGGAGGGACTCGGTGATGCCTGGGACCACGTAGTCAAGTGATGTGTTCTGGCTCCGGACTGGCTGCGATGGCTCGTAGTGTCCGCTGCGGTCTCCTTCATTAGGTGAAACGGAGTACAGCACATGCTCAGTTGTCTTTTGTCGTGACCCGTCAATGCAGCCACATTGACCAGTCGTCCTGACTGGACACTGACAGTTAGTCCCCTTGTCAATTTTCCAAGGGTTAAAAAGGAGACAGAAGCAGTCCCTACTCAGAGCTACTGCTGCTTTAGCACTCTACCGGGAGTAATGCAAAATGTCCCAACCTTTTTTTTCTTTTCCTTTTTTTTTTCTTTTTCTTTGCTATAGACCTTTCCAGCGGCAGTCTCGAACGAAGCGATTTACAGCGCGTGTCCCTGGTTTTGAGAGTGTACGTCAGTGTTGCCCGACTGCGCTGAGCTGTGGAGTTTCTCGTCAGTAGGCTGTGGCAGCCTGCGTTGGCGCAATTCCGGACGCTGTTGGCGGCTGAATTGCCGCGTTTTCTTTTTTATCTTGTATTCTGTGGCGAGCATAATTTATAGAGGTGTTTAAGAAAGCAGTGCTCTATTTTTGGGAACAAAAACAAAGAAATGAAAGCTGTTTTGGTGAGTCCGTGCGCGACAGTACAAATGCAACTGGAATGTTTGTTTCATTTTATGTTCATTGTTTTACGGCACCGTAAACTCAGCCGTGTCAATCTATAAAGGTCAAAATATTTGACCACACAGGATATCCGTACTGCATGGATATTCCCCGCCCACAACATAAAATCATCAATCATCAATCGAACAAAAAATATATTGTACGTACCCCTCGGTGCCGCGTTATCCGAACAGGATTTGAGAAAGGTCTCAAATGACACAGAATGTCCAATATACAGTGTCGACGATAGTCACTTCACGACGATCGGACGGAATCCGGCGTGTTTTGTGGAACATGTAGAAGAGAGCTCCTTTTTTGCACAGCTTCATAGCAAATGAACGAACGTGCTTATTATGTCACCACACCCCGGACCCGACCCTATCAGCTAGTTTTTGCGAAGACCCGGAACACAGCCTGGAAGGCTTTTTGGAGATTATCTCGATGGAAATAATCCTCCAAGCACGTCGAACTGCCTGCGTCGCGGGCTGCTTGACGTTCGCTCTCTTCGTTCGTTTCCTGCGAAGGCCGAGCGGGCTACGAGCCCTGGTATTCCCTGGTTCACACACTGGAAAATAACATACAAAGGGTAAGCATCCTAAACAGGCGAATAAAATAAAAACTTCCAAGAAAAGCCGGCGAACTCCGAATGCAAAATGCAGGTGGGGAGTCATGCTGACCGGGTTTCCACAGCTCAGGCGGGTGCCAGAAATTTCTGGCTGATAGGGGTCGCTCGATTCGCAAAATGGCGGCGGCCAGAGCGCTCTTTTTGGAAAGGTCTATTGCCATTTTAGATACGAGAGCTTTCCGAACAAATCCTAAACTGTAAGAACTTATACCTCAGAGTGCTTTCTGTATTTTTTCGAACCTACAAATAATAGTATCATTGAAACTTGGGCGAGTTGCTTCTGCATTTGTGACTATTAAAAACAGTGCAAAGATGGACGAGGGATGAGCAGACAGACGGAGCGCTGCAGTCCAGTGCTTTGTCTGTGTGCGTCTGCTCGTCCCTTGTCCATCTTTGCGCTGTTTTTAATTATCACAAATACAAATAATGGTTGTTAAGCAATGCACCAATTTAAACGCCATTACTCTGATGTGGAACTATATCTACGAGTGCTGTGGCATTGTTCTTTCTTTTCTCTTAAGCACTGTTTCAGAAAATCTAGTGTGGTTTGTGCTGCGGGTCGCCGAAGTCTCAGCAGACATTGCTCACATTAGTTGTAAAGACGACTCTCGTTAGCCGTCGACTTTTTAGGCAGCCGAACAAACTACATTTTCTGAATACCCAGGCTTCACTGTTCGGAGCATTCTAGTTTGTGTCACTAAATTTTGAACGGATATTGAGAAAACGGAAAACAAAAGCAATGCCAAAACAAACATTTAATTTTCACACACTTTCCAGTGGCGCGACGTCATTGGCAGGCAGAAACAAGCAGTCTAGGAAAAAGAGTGTCTTACCCATTTTCTTTAATTCGGGGAGGTGGGTGGGGCGATGGCTGGCTCTCTGCTGAGCAAGTGCTGAAGTGAACTTCCACAACATTCACTTCCGGCCATCAAAATTCCTGAAATCACTTGAGAATAAGTTTTTTTTTTGCCCGGAGAGTGAACCTGTGCCTGCCACTGGCTCAACACTTCCACTGTTGCAAGTGAAGATTTCAGTTTGAAAATATGGTGAGGAGCAAAATCGATAATGTAATGACTTTGCAAGAAACAATTATTTTGTGTATAATCGGAGCTATTCGTTCAATCGTAGCCTCCTTTATTCTTGAAAGCCTGTGAATTCCTCGGGAAAGCCACGGAGCACCCAGCCGCCTAAAAAAAGGCGAGGAGCAGTGCCGAACGGTTACTGATATGGTAACGCAGAGCCACTTTTGGGGTGACCCCTCAGCCAGCACCACGCGGCAGCTTGCGGCCTCTCCGCAAAACGCATCTGCATTTGCATTGCCAGCAGCAGATGAACTGGCGAGCTCCCAAACAAGATCAAGCCGCAACGGAGAAATAAAGAAAGGAGAAAAGAAGCTTTGAAAGGAGTCTACAGGCGCACGGAGGAACGGAAGTGGAGCGGAAAGCGGAGGGTCGATGCAATGTTTTTTCTCCTTTCCCACAAAAAAAGAGAGAGTCTGTGTTTTCAAACTCCCGCTGCGGCAGTTTTGGTGGCAGCAGAGCAGGCCCCCTGCCTAGGCGGTGTTGCCCCCTGCGTGCTGCCTTTCCTTTGTCCCTCCTCTCCCCTTTACAGCGGCCAGATTCTTTCGCAATTTGACAGACTTTTTAGAATAAAGGAGGCTACAGTTCAATTTAATCTATTGGTCTGTCAGGCCAATTTCGAGGCAAGTCAATGATCGTGAAAAGAAATGGTGAAATACCTCCTTTAGTCATCGGCGTATCTCTCCAGTCTAACCTTTTACGCATTCCTTGTTCACGTCGTCTAATCGCAGCCGTCAAGTGTCCGCCCGTTTTGTTACGATGCCCGGAGCAGGTCTCCGACTAGCCCGTGTACCGCGTCCCCAGAGGTGGTTTCTCAATTTCCGTCTGACGATGTCATAAAAAGTGTCACTCCGTAGCCACACTGTCAACGGAAACCAGAGCAGACGAGAGACGCCGCAACGATAGCCACCCTTACAGAACCGCTCGCCTTTTTCGCTGGCATTTTCACAATCAATCGCAACGTCCGACGGCGCAACGAGCAGACTCCTGCGACGCGCTTTTGTTGCCACTTTGGGATCACTTTCGATGTACGGGCAGGATTAGAGCCACTAAATAAGCTACGCTTCAGAGTAACGACACTTTCCCATCTTAGGGCTTAAAATCGTGGTTGCCAGTTATCCGAAGCTTTATCTGAAATCACAGGAAACGCTTTTCTGTCCCTCACAAAGGTTCAAACAGTTTGCGACAGAGCAGAGTAATATCACGTAAGCAACACCAAACACTGTGCCGAGGAAGTCGCACTTTTGAATCGTGACGTTTGGCAGTTGCGTCTGCTCTGCACAAGCACCAAGATGGTGGCGCCCACAACGATATCGGGGAACAGAGTGCCGATACTCTTAAGCGTGGCTCATTTGGTGGCTCTAGGCGGGAGAGGACGGTCCCAGACCCCGTCGTTTGGTTTCCTTCACTCAAAGCATCCATGCCGCTCTGGCTCTGCTTCTTCCAGGTTCGAGATGCCGTACAACATCTGGTGCGACGGCTGCGGCAACCACATTGGCACCGGGGTGAGGTACAACGCGGAGAAGTCGAAGGTCGGGATGTACTACTCCACCCCCGTCTACAAGTTCCGCATGAAGTGCCACCTCTGCGACAACCACTTCGAGATCAAGACCGACCCGCAGGTGAGCCATGGCGCGGAGTCGACCCACTTTGGGACTTTTAGAAGGCCTTTAACCCTTTGATCTCGGGGTTCTTTTTCTCCACATGCCGAATCCAACTTTTGGTCTGGGTAACACCGTAGCGTGCCTTGCGAGGGCTATTTATTTGTGCAAGACACGTAACTCTATGGGCAAAAATTCTGCATGCCTCCAAACTAGGACAGTTTTTCTAGTACCATTCTTATTGAGACACAGTACTATGCAGTGGCACCTCGACCTCACACACTGAGGTCACTCTTATAAATGGCCTTACTATGCGTTTTTTTTTTAACTTTTTTTTAGTGCAACTTTTTTGTTTTCACAGTTATCAAATACAGAGTTCATTAGTAATTTTTAGATCTAGTTTTGCCATGAAGCATGCGGTAGAACTACTAGATAGATTCGCCATTCTATACCAACGAAGCAGCACACCGAAGCAAAAGTCGCCTAAACACAAATATTTTTGCATGCCTTCAAAAAGCGTCACCACAAGATAAAACATTGTTTTCATTGCTTGCTCATGCACAGAACTACACACAGAAAACAAAAATTGGCAGCCCAGTTGGGAGTGACTGAGAGCAAACCGAAATTGAACTCGCACGGGAGTGCAACTGAGGGTCAACGATGCGCACGTGCGTGGCGACCTTTTTCTGAAAACGCAGCCATAAAGCCTTGACAATCTCATGAAAGAATATTTGCAGTTTGCCTCATTTCCTTTGATGTATCTTTTCTATCAGTTGCATCCGTAAGCTTGCGGACTCACCGTGAAACAAATCCCTTTCCAGAACATGGACTACGAGATTGTGTGCGGTGCAAGGCGCCAAGAGAGGAGGTGGGATCCGACCGAAAACGAGCAAGTTGCTCCGGACGGTACGTTCGTTTCTCCGTTAGAGCTTTCCTGCATGTGAAGCGTCAGCCACTGCTAGCGTTAAGATATGACACTGGACGTTGCGTCTAGTTTTAGCCAACTCAGTGACGACACCAAATATTGAGGTGTGCACTCGTGTCTGTCCTTAGTGGTAGCTCAGCGGCATTATACCTTTTGAATGATGGTGGTATTTCTCACTGTTCTGCTCTCTCTTGGTGCATATTTGTTTTAGAGCGCAGCTCTTAGGGGCCCGTTTCCGGCTTGAGCGGCGTCGCCGTCGGCGTCGGCGTAACCGCGCGGTGCATCATGGGAAATGTCCCATAATGCACCGCGCGAGCCCCCCACCAAGGTCACGTGACCTCGTGGGGGGTCACGTGACCCCCCGAAGTCACGTGACTCCCCTGAGGTCACGTGGCCCCGTCCTCGAGGTCACGTGACCCCCGCCGATGTCGCGTGACCCCCCGATGACGTCATCGTCACTGATGACGTCACCGGCATCCACATCGTCATCGTCATCATCACTGATGACGTCACCGGCATCCACATCGTCATCGTCATCATCACTGATGACGTCACCGGCATCCACATCGTCATCGTCATCACTGATGACGTCACCGGCATCCGCATCGTCATCGTCATCATCACTGATGACGTCACCGGCATCCACATCGTCATCGTCATCATCACTGATGACGTCACCGGCATCCACATCGTCATTGTCATCATCACTGATGACGTCACCGGCATCCGCATCGTCATCGTCATCATCACTGATGACGTCACCGGCATCCACATCGTCATCGTCATCATCACTGATGACGTCACCGGCATCCACATCGTCATCGTCATCATCACTGATGACGTCACCGGCATCCACATCGTCATCGTCATCATCACTGATGACGTCACCGACATCCGCATTGTCATCGTCATCATCACTGATGACGTCATCAGTGACGTCACTGATGTCGTCACCGGCATCCGCATCGTCATCGTCATCATCACTGATGACGTCATCAGCGTCGTCACTGATGACGTCACCGACATTCGCATCGTCATCGTCATCATCACTGGTGAAGTCATCAGTGACGTCACTAATGACGTCATCGGTACCCGCATCGTCATCGTCACTGATGACGTCATCAGTGACGTCAGTGATGACATCATCGGCATTGGGGGTCACGTGACCCCCAAGGTAACGTGACCCCCCCCCTGGTTAGTTTAACCCCCCCCCCCCCCCCCCAGTGCCCTTCCCTCCTCCTCCTCAAGAGCTGCGCTCTAATTCGGCGTTACAGGGAGTTGTAAGCGGCTTTCATTTTTTAACTTTAAGTTATGATAATACTGTTACCAGTGCAAACCAGAAATGTATGAGTACTTTGGGAAAGCCTTAGGTTCCTAGGAACCCACCGTAATATCCAGAGAGATAGCCCTCCTTAAATCGAGAGTAAATCGGGTCAAAATAAGGAGTGGGCTTACTTTCAGTGTACGATCATGAAAAGTAGAAAAAACACCATTTGTAGATCATGTTTTTCAGCCAAACTTGTTATCGCAGTGAGGGACAATGAAGCAAAGATGACTGCGCTTCCCAGTCAGCAATGTTCGCTTATATCCCATCATAGTGAACTAGCCCCATCTATGCCGAGGTCCTCATTGATCTGAACGCTACGATTGCTAGGAGTGGACTCTCTTTCACTGTTTAAAATAAAATAGCAAATCAAGCCAAAAATAGTGATGCGTTTTCTTTCGGAGTAGAGGCATCTCTCAGGATATTACGGTAGGGGTTTCCCAGAGTATCCCAAGGGGTTTCCTGAGCTTGCAAGTTTCCTTGGTCGTACCACCCCTAAGCAAGGTGCTTTTCTGGCATAAGCACTCTTTGAGAAGGTCTGAACCGTGCCTTGATTCATAATTCCCATAAAATCCCATATGACTACCTACCCATTTTGAAAAGACTCATGGTGATAATATAGGGTGGGCAATCCTTGGGAATGACAGGGCACAAGTTGATCAAAATAAACACCACGGCACCCACTATCAATTAGATGACACGACAACTACTATCACAGATCGCGGACGCAGCAGGTTCATGTTTCGTGGTGCAGTAGCACGCAGGAGCCCCCTAGGAACTCTCATGTCACAGGAACAGATTTTGCGCACGTTGATTGCGGACATGGCAACAGTTTCCATGGTGCTACAAACGCGTAGAACCCTTGACGAACCCGCTGGTCACACCTACCTACACCGCAAATTGCGCAGTTGATGCGATTCCCATCGAACATCACATGCTCTCCAACAGGAATCGATGGTGTGCGATGTTTCGTAATTTTTAGCCTATTGATATAAGCCAGAAGGACGGGACAGGCAATCTCTCGGGGCAGGGCATTCACACGGGATTTTAGGGGCATGCGCCAGACACTCCATAATGTGTGCATTATTGTTTCAAGGTTTGCAGGTTTCTGTACTGCTTCCTTGCACAGAGAGCAAGACTGGCTCCTCGGCTATCCATCCATAGAGAGGCATATTCCTTGAAATAGAAAGGTTTTCCGATTCCTGCAGGCTTCTGTACTGCTTCCTTGCGCTGAGAGCAAGAGGGGTTCCTTGGCTATTCATCTGTAGAGAGGCATGTTCCTTGAAATACAAAAGGTTTTCTAATTCCTGCACTAATTTCTTGCGGTTTTATCGCTCATTTAGTGGGTATCCATGATCTCCACAATGACAAGGCACAACCTCAACTCGTAATTTCTATCCTTGTTACTTTTTAGCTGAAACAGAGTAATCTAAGTGGAGGGGCTGTTAAATCCTTAGACAATGCTGGTCAAAAAACACTGACATCATGAATATATGAGTGTGATCCCATGGTACTGAGTGACAAAATGTTGGACGTCTTCCAGAGAGCAATCAGTCTGTCCACTGGAGCTTAATTATGTGGTCAGATTGAACATTGAAGAAGGAGGCAATCTTGATAACTAATTCTACAAAGTTATGTGCTAACCTCTGTTCACCTATAAGCTGACAGTGCAGTGGGTGCTACATGATTGTTGACCAATTGACCGCCTCCCTTTCTTCACCGGACTCCGCCCCCTGCGAGTGGGCATGGAAGGGAGCGCAATCGCATAGCAAAAGATGGACATACGACTGGCTCATCGAGCATGTAGCTTTTTCCGCACCGGCAGCACAGGGGTGAAAGTAGTATAGTCTGTTGTTCAAAATCATAAGGTGATGATGGGCAAGGATAGCAAAGGAGAAAACGTAAGGGCATCGACAATGTGAACGCATGCATAGCAGTGCACGAGACCATGCTGAGGCTCGAAAGCTCACTTTGCAAACCAGTAAAACTGGTGGCTAGCCAGAGATACTAATAGATCAACTTGCTTTGTCCTTCTGCCCACGTCTACAGACAAGGAAGTTGGAAAGAAGTTGGCCACGGATGCCATGTTTAAGTTGGAGCACGGCGAGGACGACAAGGCGAAGGTGAAGATAGCCACTCCCTCGCTTGCCAGACTAGAGCACCTTCAAGACCGCTGGAGAGACGACTACACCGCAAACCAGCTCCTGCGCAAGGGCTTCAGGGTATGCCTCCACTTACCCTCCATATAAAACTATTCGTGGCTCCAGCTAAACCTTCTTTTGACCGTCTATCGCAGCCTCGTGTTTCGGTCGCCAGGTGTTGTGAATTCTGAATATGATTGTATGTAAAAGGTAATCCTTGTTTTGACAGATCTGCACGGTTTTCACCAGGTGTCGTCACAACTTCGTGCCAAGCCATAATCATTAGCAGCGAGTGCAGTCATTTATTTGCGACGCATCCAAACTATGTTGTGCTTGGCGGCCAGAACACAAAACTGTTAAAACAATACTGAATGTTCCAGTACCCTCAGCAGGGCCAAGGGCACAGTGTAAGACACTTTAGGTCGCGACACACAGCACGGCAAACGCTATGACACGATCGACCGGATAAAATTTCATCGGGGCGCACCCAAGTAGCCTATGCCGACAGTGTCTTCACGGGTCAGACGGAACAATTGAGAAAAAATAAACAAACAAAACATTGTAGAGCCCATCCACTTCACGTGAAGATGGAGGACCAGCGAAGCTGTTATCTTGACGACAACTATACGACATCTATACGATTTACATATAATTGCAATAAAGACACGGACATGACTTTGTTGTTTAGTTGTCTGATAAAATGATCACTGCCTTATGGTCACTTATGGGCAAGTTCTAAACCCAGTTTTTCGAGGCACACCTCGAAGACAGTTTTTTCCGGTTGAGCCCAAGTCTCTTTATCAGCATAGCGGAACCGAAAGAAAAGAGGGTTGGATCGGCGCGTTTTGCACTCAGCCTCGTCACAGCGCACTCTTAGCTGAGGTAAGTCGGTGACCGTAGATGATAACGAGGGATCAGGACCTCACTATCTAGTAATGCCAAGGAAGGCTGACTCATGCAGGTTGCCACTTTTTTCATTTATACTTGCCACGACCAATCAAAACGAAGGAGCACAATTTAAATGGGCGTTTTTTTGTTAACATCCATGGACGCATTTTTTTCCAGATCCGAGCACATAACAGCTTTGCTGTAAAACACAGTTTTCCCTTGCCATGGCACTTGGGCGTATGCACTCTCCGCTCGGCACATCTGCTCCGATCTTGACGGACATTTGGCTCGAACACCGTGCCAGATATCTCTCCACTTCAACGTGTTCATAAAACTGGTCTTGCCGCCATTAAGCCATAAAACTAGGGTCAATGACAGAAGTTTGTCTAAGCAACACGTGCAGCGCAAGTGCCATGTTCTACATGTGGCAGCACGCCTAGAAAACGACTTTAAGAACGATCGTGTCTTTCACAGCTTGGGAAACGGGACCCGCAACAGACTACCACTAGCCGCTTATCGAAGAGTCATCTAGTGGGGCCAGTTGCAATCAAGGCAAGGAGGGGACTTTATCAGGCATCTGCGACGCGCATGGTGCCCACACCTATATGTGTACCTCGTACCGTGGCCAAGGATACCATGGTTATGAGCTTTGTCACTTGGTGGCATCAACGCGTTACGCTTTCGCTTAGAGAAACTACCCGAGGACTGAACGACCGCACAGTCTCATTGATCCCGTCAGTCTGAGCTCATGCTGCAGGCTTCCTGCAATCGTGCGTGTATAATCAATGACACTGCCACCGGCTTGCTCACAGCGAGGTCGCGGTCAAGCGATTCAGTTGTTCAGTCAAGCCGCGCTGTTGGTGGGTTTGTGTGTTACTTTAGCGCTGTTCGCGCTCCTTTCGTAGTAAAAGTCCTTACTACAAATATGACTGCTGCGCAAGCGTGAGACACGACGTACAAGCAATGCGGACAGCTTCGACAGTTCCGCCTTGTTCGCACACTGATGGACCAGCACACCAGCGTCTCACGGCACTTGGTACACCACGCTGGTGCCCCAGTCCTCTGTCGCGCTATAGCACAGCGTCCCGCAGTAAGTGCACAGATTGTTTGCAAACAAACCTGGTTAAGTTTAAACGCATCAGAAAGTTAACCGCATTTTTCTACGAGGAGGTATTCTAGTTCACGTGACTAGCACAGCAGGGACGGTTGGGAAACATGGCAGTGTCCCTCCCTGCGAGCGTCGGTCACTTCGGAACTAATATGTTGTAGTTGCTGCACTATTGTGCATGTTTGTCAGCAATGGACAGGGCAGATGGCTTTTGCTTTGCCTTAACTCTCTTAAATCGCAAAATATGGGCAATGATCTCGTCCCATATTCTTAGGTTGTCCATTCCTAAGCCTAGACAGACGCGGTAATAACGAACATGGCAACGTCTTTCGAATCCTTGTAGATTGTCTTGACTCTATCGTCTGGGCTTTGATGGCACGCAGAAGCAGACCGCGTAGCAATTTCCACTGGAGCCGAAGTAGACGATTTTCATATGCACAGTTCTTGCATGCTGGCGAACTATGCTGCCAATGCGCCGTCTGCCTTTCACTACTCACTTCTTTGTCGTTCCTAGCACTGAACTTCGTCGTCTTCTTTCGCACTGGGAAGTAAATTTCAACAAGGCTCGTCTTGACTTCGGACAGCCAAACATTGAATAATTTGCCAGACACGGGCTAATTTGGCTTTACCTTACCCGTTATTTGTACCACGAGCAACAAAAAGTGTGTCTTAAGCTCAGATATGTGCCGCGCTGAGCCGCGGAAACTCAACAGAGCGTTTGCCCGGGTCCCTCTTTTTCAGAAAGCTTCCACGAAAATCACTTGTACAATAGGACCTCATTGATTCGTTCCCGGTTTTTATGTTTCCTCGGCTTTTACGTTCAAAACTGCCAGTCCCACCGAGCTCCTAGCTCCCCAAGAACTTTCTCATTTTTACAGCAGAGCTGTTAAGGGCTAGTTTCCCCAGGATCGTGTCTGTCCTCAAATGACCTGATGACACAGAACTCTGGACAGCTATCGCCATCTATGAGCGATGGCGGCAACCTTTGGAGCTTTTCCACTCTGGCTTGCCAACTTGCGGCTGGTCAGCCATTACTTCATTCTCACCATAGTACAGCTTTGCTGGTCTTCCTTCTTCACCAGAGTGGAAATGTTGAAAGTTTTTTACCTTTTCATGGATCATACATTGTTTCTTTTTCGCGGTCCCCCGAGACAGATATCAACAAGTTTCTACTGTATTCGCTACAATGAGTAGGTGACATGAGCCCTATAATAAAACATGGGGCTCGCGCATCCAGCCCTCTTCAGACTTGGCTAGGTACTTGTGCGTACCTAGTAGGGAAGCGCGGTTAACTTCTTGCCGCAGTTGCAGTTAACCGGCTTCAAGCAAACGGGCCCTGGTGTTTCTGAGGTGCTCATTAGTCTATATTTAGGCAAAGCAATAAGTGCCGAAATTTTGTTTCTGTGCCCCTGTGAGGTTAGTCTAAAATGACCAGTACTTGGCCGGTGTTTTTATGTGCAGCTCGCTAAAATTAGCAAGCTCTTTTCGTTTTGCCTAGCTCAGAGTTCAGCTCGGTGAGAAGCGTGCTCAGTCCACCGGTGTGTAGGATGCATTAGTTCAAAGGACTTTGTTCCCATTCCAGACAAAGAAGAAGGAACTGCAACTCCAGGCAGAGAAGGACAGAGCTTTGCTCGCCAAGTCGTCTCTTCAGATCAGCCTTGTTCCAGAGGCGTCGGAGGACGGCCGAATAGCCAAGCTGCTTGCCCTGATGCCGACACACAGTAAGTGGCGCTACTTGACCTACCCGTGAGAGCTGGTTCTTACATTCCTGTCTGAGTGCACTCGAGTGGGCCATGCTTATTTGTAGCCGCTTGCAACGAGAGATCCCACTGGCGCCATCTGTAGGCTGGTTCGCACTTGGCCATCGGAAATGCAGATGCGGAAAGACCGCGCGGGCACGTTTTTGCACCTCTAGCCTCACGCCTCTTGCATGAGTGGCAACTTTATCGCGCCACCGCATTTCCCGCGCGTTCCAAGTCTTTCTAAAATTCACTGATTTAGTGCTGTTGGATGACGCTCAGCAAGTTCAAACCAGATGTTTATCTTCACCAACTAAACTGTGAATCAATGAGTTGTAGTTAATTAACTGACTTATTGTGACACTTAGCCCCCTATTTATCTCCTGTGGCCGTATAACTCGCCTACCTGCACAGACTGCATTGGTGTAGTTTGACGGCTTTTTAAAAAAAACTGTCTGTAAAGCCTAAAGCAAACACTGTAGTAGTGTTGTACGATTATTAGAATTTTCGAATAGTAGTTTCGTATAATACGCTATTCCAGATTCGCTTCGAGGTGAACTGCGATATTCATACTTTTCTAAGTTTTGATCCCGGGGGGTTGGTCATGTTGGGTGGACTTTTTACTGAGCACCCGTGTACTGCGGGGAAGCAATACCCTTGAATCCCGCAAGCTCTGTGCCACAATGCTCAAGTGCTCGGCGAGAAGCGCGCTCAACGGGGCTAACCCACCGGGATTATGCGAGAGTGTATATCAGCGATGTCTTGACAGCCTGCATTCATCATTTGTGCTTGGTTTTTTTTTGTCGAATTTGAAATAGAAGAAAAAATATTTGCATATAGCAAGGAGATTTACAAATCACTGTGATTAGGATAGCTGCGACAAATCTCTCATTTACATGCCACGGTTCACATATTATTAACTGAGCTTAGAGGTGGAAAAGTGGAAGGTTGGGAACAACCTTCAGGAGTTCAGCCAAATTTTTGTTCAAACATGGTGCACAGTAATAAAAAAACTTTAAGAAACTATTGGTTAGTCGATTCACAAGTAATACCGCAAGACACAAAGCTTGCGGGATTTGCCCAAAACCACCATTCACTTTCAACTCTCTTCAAACTCAAAATTCACAATTAGCACACTGTATATTATAGAGTCGACTGCATTTCGGGTGAAGCCAGCCCATAAGCTCCCCCTTCGGCTACACCCCGAAAAAGCAGGACACTTCCCTCGCCACTTAGTAAGTGGCAAAGCTATGTCAGACGTGAAGCTTCCCCAAATCTTTTTGGGGCCACGCTTGTTATTTATTATTTGTGATCCTGACATCGATTCGTCATTATGGACTACAGAAAGACAGCGTGAAACGTTTCTTTCTTCTCGCAGCCTCGGACGAAAGGCAGAGGCTGAAGAGGACGGAGATCACGGAGCGGCCACTGTTTCCACCGTCCAGTGCGCAGCATCCGAGGGCCAAGGCACCGACCGAGAAAACGGGCTCGGCGCTGTCGGGACTCGTAAAACACCCCAAGAAGCCAAACCCGGTGGACGAAACTGAGCCTTCTGTTTCGAAGGAGCCCAGTAGCACCAACTGCTCTCTGGTATCCGTAGACTACTGCAACGAAAGCTCCGACGAAGAAACATAGCCTATCTAGTCGCGCGGGGGGGAGTGTGTTTTTTCTCTCCCCTTCAGCTGTGTAAATATGGCGAAACCTAAATCAAATGCGGACTCGTTAGCTGTTCCATTACCTTTTGTACATAGCAGCAATTGTCTTTACTCGAACAGCTGTTTTGACTCTGTTGTTTAATTCTGTACGGAAGACAGCCAATATGGATACATTACTCGAGGGTTGGGGATAAGAACTAAGAAATAAAGCTTTTGAACTTCTTGCACAGGAGTTTTGTCCACTAAAGCCGAATCTAAGCTAATTATCTTTACTTGAGCCATGCGGCAATCTCGTTACGTCTGTATAATTGCCCAACTTGAAAACTGCCGATGTATTCGGAATGTTGCCGTTATAATGATACTGCACCGCTGCGGGTATACATGGCATCCTGTAGATAGCACAGGTTTTCATACAAATGATTTCCATGGCTGCTTTATCACAACCTCAGAATGAGAAAAAAAAAAAAAAAAAAAGTTTATTGGTGTAATGTTTACTGAATTATTTTACTGCGACAGTATCCGAGGGCTGAGCAATTTTTTTAAAAACGGGGATTCATTTTTTTTAGGTGCTAAATGTTTACACAGAAGAAGGCTAATTTTTGTTTCTTGCTTTTGTGGCTAATAATTTCCCATTTTACCTTGTTGAAATTTCTGCTAAATGATGACTACAAAACCCTCAGATTCAAGATGCCTTTCTTATTGTTTTGAGTCCTAAACGTTAGCATAGACATTTCTTTCTTTTTATTTTTAAGTCTGCCAACTTTGAACAAATGCACACACGCACCAAGCAGCCTGGGAGGGGTTTTTCTGCGGGAAAGCTGCACCGGTACACAGTCATCATGGGTGGAACTTTGCCACAGTGCGCCTTCACCGCGGGGGAAAGCGTGCTTGACGAAGCTAAAATGTTATACATTACAAAATTAAAACGGCTTTTAGGTTGCCTCAGGCTGACCTTAAAAATGTGCGTCCTTCAAAGGGCACCTAACGCTAGACCGCAAAATTGGATGCATAGATGATTTCAGGGTAACTTCATACTAAATCACGTCTATGTGATGCAAACACATGTCAAAGTCCCTAAGTTAACTGTCTTACTGCATTAGCCAAATTCCCTACTTCCCCATTTACAGCTGGGAGCAATATTTTAAGGCAGACTAGAACAAATTTTTCTGTGCAAAATCAAGTGGAGACATAGGTCAGTGCAAGTGATTTTTTTTTATTATTATTTATCACTACTGCTACCCAAGACAGCATACAGTAGGAAAGGGGTAAAGGAGAAAGGCCATTGATAACAGGTGAACACAACAGGGAAATCCAGGTTTGTTGACTATGTGGCATTCAGTTTGTGCTGGGAACGATAGTCATATGGACTGAGTGGAGATAGGTTATTCTAACCTAATATATTGCTTGAGAAAAAAATGTTTTAAAACAGTCTACTTAAATTATTAAGTTGTCTATTGTTCTTCAGTGTGAGTCTGTAGAGTCCTAGTGGACAAGCTGAGTAGATGGTTGGTGCTAATGTGGCAAGGACAAAATGGACATAAATACAAAAATATACCAAATGCTTTTTCACAGCCAAAACATTTCTATATATTATCAGATGACTATGTATGGCACATTACATGTATGACACAATACAAAGTTCGATGAGTAAAGACACTCCCTGGTATTATGTGCATTGTATTAGGGGCGTGCAAGCAGTGGTTTTAATTGAATAGCACCGTGTCATTCATAGCTTTCGTAGTGCTACTCGGACCCACGACATACTGGCTTTTTGCAGTGTTGAAGCTACGGATGACGCTGTAGTACTATTCAGAGCAGTATTTGCACACTCTTACATTATATATGTTTACCTACAAACTACCTTAGGATGGTAGCAAGCATGGTAGCACATTGAGAATTTGCAAAACAATCTTCAGGTCCTTTCTAATGCTTGGAGCACACTCTGTTTAGCCCCAGCAGCTGCAGCACTCTCTGCCAAAAGCAGCATAATCAAACAAAAAACTTGCAAATGGGGGTTGCACATGAAAACAAAGCAAACGGCACAATGAGCAGCACGAAAGTACAGTCTACAACACATGGGGTACAAAACAAGTTACAACGGCCGTACGGGAAATTTCTTAAGACACACACTGAAGTGAGTTGGCATGTGTCTTGGGACCTATGCCACGTTTCCAAGACATTTGTAACGTGTCTCGGGACACATGACAATGTGTTAGGGCCCGTTTACACACTTGCAACCGAGTATGACCGAGAGAGACAAGACCTATTGAAACCTCTGTTAATTTCTTAGGATGAGAGAACACGCTGGCACCATCTATGCGATGACCCTGGAACCACATTTCACAAGAGCGAAAATTTTGCGGGATTTTCAAAGTCAAATATGCGTAATGCCTATGAGAAAGGCCTGTTTATAACGTTCACAAAAGTTTTTCGAGCCAAGAAAGAAAGCATAATGCACGAGAGAAATAGAAAATATGCAGAACCGCCAAGTTTACACTGCTACCCAATAGATGGTACTAGTGTGTGCTCTCATCGCAAGAGATATTAAGAGGTTCCAAGGAACTCGGTTATAAGAGGTCACTAGTGTGTGAGCGGGCCTTTAGACCTGTGACTTCATGTCTTTAAGACATTGTAATGTGTCCCAAGACACATGCTGAAGTAAGCTGAAGATAGCACTTATACCGGAAAGAGATTCGTCACGGCATCACCTCCATGCGCAACCGCAGCACCGAGCCGTCAACAAAGAACCCTTCCTCTTCAAGTTGCGCCTTTGTCGCCACGACCCCCGTTCCGAAGCTCGCATTTTTCTCCCTCACCGGCCTCTGGAAAGCACGGTGCGTCGGACAGTCGCCGGTGTCAATTTCCACGCTGATCGTTCGCTCTGCATCATCGGGGTGAACTATGCGGAGGACGCAGACCTTACCGAAGGGCCACTCAACCTCGTCATCGTGCAGGCCCTTGTGCAGAGTCAAGCCGAGCAAGACATTGAACCGGTCGCCGCGACTCAGTATCACGACCCCCTGAGAAACGCAGTAGCCGTGTGCATACCGCTTCCCGCTGTCAATACACACACTTCCCCACGAGCTGTGCTCGAAGGTAGCTGCGTCGGGCCATCTGAGATCCCACTCAAACGCTCTGGCTGTGAACAAGCGGTACAGCTCCCTCGAGACGCCCTGTATCACGGCGGGCAGGTCCAAGTTGAGCTGCTCTACTTCTTCGCCAAGGTGTATCCTGCATGTGGAGTTGCCGCTTGCAACTCGCACCACCAGGACCGTCAGTATCTCGCGCAAGAGTTCCTGGACCCGCCTCGAGTCGGCGGCATTTGCCTCAACGTCGCTCTCTTCGGCGAGCCGCAGCGTCAGGGCTTTCAGGTTCCCCGACAGGTTGTCGACGGCTCGCTGAAGACACGTGCGGTCGTCTGCCACCTTTCCCAACGCCTCTCTCGCGTTGAAGTACGCCCGTTGGACGTCAGAAATCCGGAGGGAGTCGGATGCAGGGGAAGACGGATCGTCGTTGGTCGAAGGGGCAACACCGCAGCCGGCCTTGAAGTGCGCCACGAGGTCCCTCCGCAGCACGGATGCCTTGCAGCGGGGACAGGAGGCCGCGTGGAACTCGCAGTCCGTCTGGTAGTGGTTCCGCAGGTCTTTCAGAGAGCCCACAAAGTTGCAGCCATTTTGGGCGTTCCAGCAGCTTACCTGGAAATAAATCGTCGGGTTTGGGAAGGTTTTCTGCTATGGGCTGTCTGCAGAACAAACCAGATGGACAGGTCACACGAGCCAGTTTCAAATGGCTGCCGCTGCTGGCATGCACTGTAGTAACTAGCCTTTCTACACATGCAACTGAGCTGCAGTTCCGTGCAAGCGGAGCCTGAGATGGCACAAGGTGACGAGCTGTCTTGTGCAATGGCGCCTGCCTTCTGCAAAGTACAGCTAAGGCAGCACCACGCAAGTGTGGAACACTTGGTGAGAGTGGTTTATTGGATAATGGAAGCCCATAAAAGGATGTGGGATTGGCGTGGTAATATTTTTCTTAGTTGTACTTTACTGGTTATATTTCTGGGCCAAACATTCGGCTTCGTCAGCTCGGGTGTTGGGGGTAAAAAGACTCCCATTTTCAAACCGTTTAGAGTAGTGTGGCATGACCAACAAAAGAGGAGGTCGACATGTTACCCTGCAGGCTAGCTTACAACTTGTAAAATGGTAGCTTTTATTATGTGGACCCCCTGCTTTAGTTTCACCCAGAAGATTTCAGTTCAATAGGGAGTTTTAGAATAAGGGGCCCCATGGTTTGGAGTTCCCCAAGCAGCTTGAGGTTTTGCACTGTGCTTGCGGCATGACGCCGAAGCTGTGGGGCTTTCTATTCTAAAACTCCCTAATGTCTCTGACGCTATGTCTCAAGCAAGCTGAACAGGCTAGGTTACCAGAGGGGCTACAGCTGCTGGTCATTGTGTTGTGTGCAAACTTCAGTGGTGCCCTAATTAAGTGCCTCAGCCTTTCTGAGCCTGCCAGCGTTTGCCGGTACGTCAGTATAGTGGGAATTTTCCCGAGAATACATCTTTACAAATTACAGCTACAATCACCAGTAGTTTCTAGTGGGTGATCTTATTGAGACTGACAGCTGTTCGACCTTCTCGAGTCCATTTACCTCAAAATTTCAGTACCTTGGTGTATAAATATATAGATTTTTTTTCTTTCGATATTAGACAGGTATTATATCCTTTACAGTACGTATATTTTCTTAAAAAATCTTTACGCACGTTCGCGTGCTCCGACAAAAGCTGGTTCTTATCCAGAGGGGCGCGTACTCCCCGCAAAAATTGGTTTCGTTTTTGAGCGGCAAATCGAAGCAAGCAGTCGACGCACTTACCACTCGGGTGGTGAGCTGAAACACCACACGCCAGACCTGATCCGGTTTGAAATGCTCGTTGTCGATCAGGCAGCATCCTCCGTCAGCGAAGTCCTCAAAGCACAGCTCGCAGTACGTATGCGAACAAGGCAAGACGACTCCAATCCTCGGAGAAACTCCGCACAGGTTGCACACTTTCCACGCAGGAAGGGGCTTCGTGAAAGCCATGACTCGCCTATCCGAGAAGCCATAAAACAGAATAGGTTTGTTAGGTTTGGTACCCGTTGAGCATCGGTAGCACGGGCAAAGAAACAGAGCCGCGCTGAGTTGCGCAACACTCACCCGTTATTTTTTTCGGGAAAGCTCTTTTCTCAATCCGAAACACGGGGATCCGAAAGCAAAAATTTAAATGTCTCTGGCGATGCGTCTGTCCACGCAAGGACTCAACGAACAGCTGATCGTGTCGCTAACTTCTTAAGGTGACCTCAAAGCCTACGTGGCTTCGGCAAACCTTATCTTTCTAAGATTTGTTTTTTGTCAATTGTATCCAAGGCTTCTGGCTGCAAAGGCTATGGCGCAGCTTGCTGAGTGGCTGAGCCTGGCTGAGCTCTGCGCTCTCTGTGCGTGACGCAAGAGGGACACGACGCAGCCACGTGAGTTTGACGTCAGCACATTGATTTTTGTTTCAACGGGTTTTCGAACGTTCTCGAAGCCTCTTTCCTCTCGGTGTTTCGGAAGCGCAATAGATGGCGTGACATGTTCGCACTGGCGCTGACAATGACACCGATGGCGCCGTTTTTTCACCGAGGCGGACACGTCCAGGAAAATACGAAGCCGACGAAGTATTGGGGCGGCATCTATCTGCAGCCTTTATTGAACTTCAAAGACTACGTGACCTTATCTAGTCATCTGAGGCGGTGCGGAAGGGGGGAGGGGGGGGGGGGGGGGGGGGGGGGACGAGGGGGAGAGGGAAGGGGAGGAGGAGGGGGAGGAGTTAATTATGGTAAAAATAGTCGATCGTTGCCAGCTTGGAAGCTCCGATTGAACACTGGATTAGGTTTGGATGCCTACATGTCTGTCTGTCTCAGGGTGAAGACGTCCATTGTTGGGGTGAACTTCATTGTTGCCCTGGATGTGCCAGCGCGTGACGCTCTCGCGCACTCGGTGCATGGCTTAGGCGGTAAAATGGCGTCTATGCATTAGCCAAAGCTATGCGCTCGAACTGAGTGACACCGTATTGCGCGCACTTCAAAATGCATAAAAAAAAAAAAAAACGATCGGGCGGAAAAATGGCTAAGATGTTACCACTCAACCAAAAGCGCGCTTGTGTATGAAGGCATTCTAATTACACCAATCCTTAGCCATCTTTTTTTTAGGAAGGGGTTTATAACACGTGAGCGAATTTCGTTTTAGCGAACAGCGAGATCGCAACCAGCCACTAAAACGGAGGGGGGTGGAAGTGCCGGGTGCTGCCAGAGGTGGCACCCACCTACGTGACTGGAACGCCTGGTACGCACCCGGGGCCCATGGCCCCCCAGCACCCCCCGCTGCTACGCCACTTTTCACAGCGCTAGGGGAAACCAAGACCTACAGGTAGTCTTTGCAGTGTCGATGATGGGAATGACGCTGCGGTATTCGATTGAAACCACGCGCCTACTTTTCCCATTGAAAATTTCAGGAAATCACATAGCTTTTAAATAAGATCATGGCTATAGTTCTGAAACTTTGGCATCTCGTTTGGAGAATGAGCGTTCGGCGCTTAAAAGAACCCTGTAAAGTGTGTGTGTGTGTGTAAGGGGGGGGGGGGGAGGGGACGCTTACTTTGTACACCACAGCAAGGTCATCGACTCAATCTAGCACCCCGACCGTCATGGGCGTACCAACCGGGGGGGGGGGTCAAGACCCGCCCCCCCCCACACACACACACACACACGCACACACAGTTCTCAGAGTGGGAAGGCAAAGCATTCGTTTTGTCCCCCCCCCCCCCCCCCCCCCCCCCAAACAGCCGCCACTACGCAGGGCCCAAGTGCAAGGGATTCCTTGTCCATTGGGCGTCTGGCTGGTATCCCTTGACCTGAGGCGCTGCATGGCTGGCGGCGCCCAAGGGCAAGGGATACCAAGGGCACCCCCCCCCCCCCCCGGCCCTGGGATAGAGTCTCCCCCCCCCCCCCCCCCCCTAAAAACAAGTTGGTGCGCCACTGCCGACCGTGTCACGTGACCCTCTGACCGAGCTCCACCACGCTCCGGTATACATATGTTTGGTCGGTTCCGATAGCCAGCAGCGTCTGCAGTGGTGCGCACTCCGTGAATTTTATGGTGAGAAGTGTCTTGCTATTTGAGCGCAGATGTTAGCAACATTATTTGCGCGCACACACACACACACACACACACACGCACAGACACACAAAATAAGAAGAAAAGAAGAAGAGGAGCTCTTGTCAGCCACACCAGACGCCACCACGGCTGGGACACCATCACACCATCGTGGAGAGCCCGAGCCGACCGCAGGATAGGGGGCGTGATGCACAAGGATGTTTTCGCGTTGAACTGGCGGTGCTTGGCGGGCCTCGCGACAGTTCAAGCGATCACGGTGGTACTGGGCATTCTGTCCGTCTGGGACACTGTGAGTTATCACCATGCCACAGGCTTCGGCGTCTGCCTCTTCAGCACCATCCCGTTTGTCTTCCTGCTCATCGTCGTCTACTCTACCGCGCTCACCATCTTCATCATCTTGGCGTCGCCGGGCATCGAGAACCTTCCGGCCTTCCAGCACGCCTGCCGCATGCACTACATGCTTGCCTCGTCCGCCTTCCTTGTGGTGCTCGTTTTTCTAGTTACCCACAACGACGACATCGCTCGTGAGACCGTTCGTTCCCGGGTCATCGTGATGGCCATTGCCAATATGCTCGTCTACTGTCTGCTCGCCTTCATGGCATGAGCTCCGAATTCTTAGCTGTCTGTCGCCACACAGCACACGTGCATGCATGCTTTATCATTTTCCGTCACCAACCGAAGTTGTGTCTTGTGAAGAGCTGGACGATGCACGACGCGCGAGTTCTTGTGGAGTACAAACTGCTGAAAGTGATTGCTCAAAGATAAACATAAGGCTGATATGGTGCGTGGCCCTGGGCATTAGCTCTAAGACCTCCATTGCCACCGAGCTCACCGCTCACGTGGTGCAGAAGGCCAATAATGGTTTTGAGGCCTTTAAAGATGTGTATATATATATATATATTTTGACGATATTCTAAAAATACACGGAGGCGCTGATTAAAATTTGGAAGGACGCGCCAAAAGCTGATGGTGATTCTGGATATGCATGCAGTCTGTCATCCATACGGCGGTAACTATGGGATTTCATCCTTGTCTTGAGTGGGGGGCACCGCGTACTGTATTCTGTCCATAGAAACAAATTTACCAGCCAAGTAATATTTCTTGCTCTTATGAATGAATAATTTTATTGGCACCGGTGACGGTGTCGAAACATGCCGTAAATATTTTGATCGAATTCTTAGGGATATTGAAACCGTTAGACAAATTGGATGGCCAAAATTTCACTAAAATGGTGTTTCGTGGGGTTGTGCGCTCTGCGCACATCATTTTATATTGTGATTGTTCAACGTTAGATATTGTGCTGTAGCACAGCGATGACATTGCTCTTTGAGGTTTACGCTATCGAGATAATATATGATAATTAAATGCCAATCACGGCATTAAAGGGTCCTCTCTATTTATTTTTAGAGTAATTATATTGTTAGAATATGACTAGACGTTCTGATACCATCAAGAAGTGTAAATTCCTCCAGTTCGCGATCGACAAAAAAAAAAAAGCGCTGCGGTGAAAATTGGCACGGATAATCTCATAATGTAATAGGGCGCTCATAAGCAAATAAGCAGTGCAGCTTTCCTCGTTTATTACATAATAATAATGATATGAATGCAAACATGTTTCGTACCGACGTTTTTGAACCTCTCTTCGGGCCAGCAGACGACGGAGGCAACGGAGGAAATGCGCGAGAGCAGACGAGTAAAGCTGTGCTTTTTTTTCTCACTCCCTCCCTCTCTTTCATTAATTCCCTCCCTCTTTCTCTTTACTGTCACGTGGTAGACCAAAACCCCCTAGATAAGAAAGCAGAAGAAGGCCAACGTAGGCCAGAGATTGGACATGACTGCTGCGCCAGCGTTCGGCTAGAAGTCGTGTCCCGATAACTTGGCGAACTGTGGAGGCTGCGGCCCCCGTGACCCAATAAGGGAGCTGGAGCAAGGCGCGTGATAACACTTCATGGTTGAGGCCAGCGGGGCCTGGTTACCGCCGCAACAACAGATCCCCTCCTCCACAAAAAAAGTAGTTCTAGGCTTCTTTTTCTTTTAACGGTAATTGGACTCTGGCGATTCCATCTATAACGAGAAGATACGAAGAATAAAGAATAAATAATCACAAATTTATAAATATCAATTGTATTTAAACCAAACACGTAACGCCACATCCGTATCACTCGATTTTTTTTTTTTTTTTTTTTCGGTCTTGTAGCGTTGTGGCTTGTTGACGATCGCCGGCGATCGCAGCTGTGTATTCGACCGTTTCCGCTCAAAACATTGCACTGTGCCCTGGTATTAGCACCCGTCACAGATTCGCGGCTAAATTGAGCGTATCGTTGTCTCATGAACTGTTCCCGAAGTGCTCGCTATTCAAGCGGACGGAACTGTTGCTGCGGTGGACGGTCATCCGAAGTTGGCTAGTTTCGGAGCAGACGATTCTTGGCTAGCAGACAACAGCCGTTTCCTTCGGGCCACGATGTGCTCCGGGCAACATTACTAGAACCATTCAGTTTTGGAAACTGCCATAACATCTGCTCTGAAAAAGTGGCGCCGATCCGTACTCGAGAACCAAGCTAATGGCGATTGCAACGCCGCCATTTCTCCCACCGCGGCCACCCTGGGAACTGCACGGCTGCTTGTATTTTTTCGGGAGTATCGCATTCGATGGCGTCAACTGTTACTGCTCTATTTTGGCATTAATCGACCACTTTGGCGCCGAAACATATACGTTGGACAGTGGAAGGGTTTTCAGGGATGCCACCCGAGAACTCAGTTTCCCAACTGAGTTCTAGTAACGTTGGCTACGCGCACGCGCGCTGGGGGGCGCGTGCACTGTCGACGTATGACGCGCGACGCAGCGACGCCGACGAGTGGAGCGCGATGAAGACAAGGCCGGCCGCGGCTAGGTGGCGTAAGCTCTGGGTACGACGAAAAGCGAGGAAAAATATAGTTCGCTGGTTTCGAAGTGAAATTTCAGTATTACGCCTTTTACATTATTATCATTTTGCGTCTTTGTCAAAGTGCAACGCAAACGTGCTCAAAACTAGGTATAATTATAACAATCGTTATCTTCACTGGTCCAGAAAAAAAAAAAAAAAAAAAAAAGCGCGACGGAAAAGAGATTGCATGATTTTTATAGTGAGATCAGTAGGCAATATTGTAATCTGGAACTAGATATAGATGTTAACTGACACTTATTACACAATGTGACATCAAAAACGTTTTTCTTTCTTTCTTTTTTTTAAAGCACTTTAAGCACTGAGTGCGAGTGTTGCTATGGCCACACAGGTTGCGTCGGCTGTTGCCATAGCAACCCTCGTACTCGCTCGGACTCACCGGAATCTACGTGAATCGCCCTTTAGGCTCGGTTACTATCAATAGGGAGTTTTCGTAGACCGCGCTGCCCCCTCCGCTAAGCG